GTACTTCCCTAGCAAAACTGATGTAGATTAACGACAAATTTTTTTTTTGCTCTAGGTGCTGTTCGGAGAATGTTATGATGTACGCAGATTCGCTCCTCGGAAAAAACACATGTTCCGTTTACCACTTGCCAAGACGCCATTTTGTATCAAAAGTTATAATAAAAATTTTTTTTATACCTCAAAACATGTATAATAAAGCCTCAAATTTCATTTTCCATGATCCATTGAATAGTTTCCAAGAAAAAAATTCCCAAAAAAACGTTCATTTTTCAGTGCGCCTGGGTAGTATAACCCCTTAAGTAAATACCGAAGTGTATGCGTGTGCAAGAATAAAAAAAAATTTAATTAAACTTTTTAATTAAATTAAATTTTGCAAAATACCATTTTAGAACAATGAGAAGAAAGAGCAATTCTGAAACACTACGCATTTCATTAATTTTATTTTCGTTTACGCTTGAAAATTTTTAGTCTTTTTTGCAGCTTACGTAATCGACGTCGATCGGTGCGGTTTACAGATCGCCGCGCGTCGTTGTATTTTCAGTGTGACGAACGGTGTACACATTAAAGACACGGTAGACTGCAATAAAGATCCGTTATCATCGTTATTACAGTACACCTCCGGAGATGAAATCTGCCTGCATTTCGCGTCACGTGAAACGAGCAGGCGAAATGTCGATTACGCTACATTACGCTTACACATCGTGTCGCATTTACGCCAGGGTGGAGAGGTTTCTATTTCGATGCAGTGAATTTGCTAGTTCACAGTGGTATCTCACTTATATTTATATTGTATTATTATAATAAATGTAAAGACCGGTTTTTTGCTGGAGTATCTAAAAATTTCGCTAAATACAGATCTGAAAATAATTTTGTTAGACTATCGATGATTCTGTAGGACGCTTAAGATATGGTTGCTGGAATGTAAAAATTTTCTGCAATATTGCTCATTATGCTTGAATGTCTTATATAATTATTTTGATAGTTCAATAAAATTACTTTCAGATCTGCTAGCTAAATTTTTAGATACTTCAGCAAACTGTTCTTTCCGTATTGTATGATTGAAATTGTTTATATTCTTCGTTTAATATTTAGAAGTAAAAAAAGTAATGTGAAAATACTAGTTGTTTTATATAGCCATTCTTCATTATAAAAGAAAAACGTTTAAACTAGATGATGAAATTAATTTAATAAATGGAATAGTTATTTTATGAATAGTACAGCTTTTTGCGCAACTCGCAGGGAATATAAAAAAGAATTGATGACACTAAGATGCTAAGTTTAAAATTGATCGACGTCGTGTCAAGAAATAACGTGTGAGATAAAATATTTCGCATTTGCTCTTGTGTAACGCATGTAATGCATGCAAGCGTAACGAGAACGATTTGTCGCGACGTTGGCGGTGACGGTACACGGCGAAGGGATAACGTTAATAAAATGCTGAAAAGGGTTCTCTTAACGCGCGCGGGTCTGGCCCGGTGTTGGGCGCGATACATTATTCATGGCGAGTACCAACACATCACACACTCGATAGCGGATTACACAGCGCGATAACTCAACGAGCAATTTCTAGAATGTTGCCTTCGCTCTGAGAAGCCTTCAACTTGATGTACAACCGCGGTATAATCACTTGACGAAGCGAACGAGTTTCCGTTAAAGGTCTTAATAATGTGTCCTGATAATTTCATGACAGAACAGAATGCTGTCTTTTTACCGCGAATGTTTAACAAAAATGTTAAAAATATTTGATATATTATATAACCAATCGCTTGTTTGATAGAAGTGATACAATTAAAAAATTAACATATTCTTGAGATAATAACAGGAAGCCAACTTTAAAGACATATTTTTGTTGGAAAAACAATATAATTCTCAAAATTTACCTCTAAAAAGCAGAAGTAATGCAAAAGTTTGCTTGTCCTCTGATTTAAAAATTCTCTCGGACTATGAAATAGTAACCTATGATTGGTCTGATATTTTTTATTAATTGTGTTAGTCAGAGCGAGATAGTACATATTTTTTTCTCTTACACTACTGTAGAACGAGATAAAATATATCTTTTTTCACTTGCATTATTTTGACGAAAAATTTCGGATTCTTTGTCATGGCCAAACTCTGATTAGAGAACTCTAATCAATTTCGCACAATGATTGTTTATAGAAAAGAGATATTTGTTTAATTAAATATACTGAAGGAATGTTAATTGTTAGTGCTAGAATAGTTGTTGAAAAATTCCTATTAATTATACCATTTTTCTTTAAAAGGTTACTTAAAATGTTCCAATTTAGAATTTTAAAAATATTCTCCTGAAAGAGAGAGAGAGAGAGAGAGAGAGAGAGAGAGAGAGAGAGAGAGAGCTAATTTTGAGATGTATCACTTCTCTATCAAATAAACAAAATATAATGAGAATATGAACGTAAAAAAGAATAATTTTCTCTTTAATTTGCTTTTTCTATATGTCATCAGACTTTTTGATTCTAAATTCTATAGTTAATTAAAAATGAGCCTTTTATTCCTCAATAGAATTATCGGAGTCGAAGCGGTCGTTTCTTTAGCGTTTCCACCGAGGACACGAATGTTGATTCCGAGGTTGGTACTACGGTTTCTTCCGGTCGAAGTTCTGCCGGGGCTACAGGACTCAAAGCTAGTAAACAGCGATGGAGCGGGTTCTTCACTAACACTAAGGGTATCAAGATGGACTTATTAACCGCTCAGCTAGACGAGTACAACAAACATGGCGTACCGAAACTCGCGAACGTTCATTTGCAGTGCGACGTGACGATTATTAACGAAGAAGGTAGGAGATTCTTACTTTTGCCCTTTAATTTCTCTTTTCCTTCGAGTGCTCCTTGAAATGAGAGATTTGGAATCCTGAAGATTCTCGATGATCCATGATCAAATTAACGCAAGACACGCTCTTATCTGAAAAAACACTTTTATCTCGTGGAAGAACATTGAAATCCTTTTCTCTCGTCAGCCCCATCTTATTACATGCAAACGGAATCAGCAAAGTTTGAAGATCCCTTTAACGACTACTCTGCTAAGAGTAGTCGCGTTACTTATTCTTACATCATGCTCTTCTCATTTCTCGAATTTCTTCTCACATTCTTGTTCGAGTACGAAAGCGCGATTGAGTCTGAATCAGGACGAGATTAATTCTGGGATGGTACTATATAATGACCCTGATAATATTGTAATTTAAATTACTAATAACGTCGCTGCCTTAGCATTGAAAATCGAAAATCGATAACGACACGTTCTTATCTTAAACAAAATAATTCGGTACGTAATTTTCTGCAGAAAAATGTTATTTAAAGGATCTTTTTCTCATTTTTTTTTACGGTCCTCAGAAAAATTCTTATTTATATTGGCTGTTCTCCTTTTAGAAAACATAGTCGATACAAACATCGTCCTATTCTTCTTGGCATTCAATGAATGACAAAGATAAAATGACACTTGTGTCGACTGCGTCTTCTAAAAGGAAAGCAACCGTTATCTTTAATAAATTACCTAGTTTGCTGCAGTCGCAGACATTGTTGCAATGTAAATTATAGTACCGTGATATTCTTTCAGCTCTTTACAATTTAGAAGGAGACTGGCGCGACATTGTCGAGAATTCACAAATGCTTTCTGAGAAACACACGCAGCAGCAGACTGCACTCTGGGAACTGGCTGAAACCGAAGTAGCATACATTAAGACGTTAAAAGTTGTGACCGATGTAAGTAAAGTATCGACATACCTTCTACGTTTTAATTCACGAAAACAGACTCGTGAAACTAATTAATCTCGTCAAGCTGATAAGATTGCTTGATATATCAAACATGTTGAAATTATAACGAGCTCGGGATGAGATATCTCATTAAGAGATTAGAATTTTCAATGTTTCCTGAAAGTGATGATCGTCATTTTTGATATCGTAGCTCTTCATGGCGTGTCTGTGTAGTCTGCAAGCCTCGAATATCTTGATCGAGGTCGACAAGCTGAAACTCTTCAGCAATATACCTGATATCTACGCCGCTAATCGCTACTTTTGGACTGAGTACCTACTCGCGATGGTGAATGCGTCGCGATCGAGCGGGCAGCCGCTTGATCCCGGTCATCTTCTACTGGGTTTCGAAACTTTCGAGCAGACGTTCGCGCCTTACACAAGATACTGTGCCGAGCAGAGCAAGTGTCAGCAGTATTGCAAGGATCGGTTAAACGATAATCAGCTTTTCACAGCATACTTGGTGGTATGTACATGCTGTTACTCTTGCTCGCTTCCGTTGGCTTACTTTGGTGGAGTTAGCTATCGATCTCACTATTAATCTCAGTTAATTAATTTCGAAATTACCTATGATGCAGTTAATTATTTTAGAAAAAATAACTGGGTATCTTAAAGGAATTTTCTTATCTAAAATAACAAAAAATAAATAATTTCTGCGGATTTGTTTAAAATAACTTTAAATGAAAAAAAATATCTAAAGTGCTAAAATTCTTTAATGTTTTTATAAATTAATATGTAAGAGGATATTATAATGTCCTCTTACATATCAATTTATAAAAACATCGAATTAACTTTATTGTTTTTTCTACTTAATTTTTTTTTATATCTCTTGTAAGAACATATTATAGTTATTAAAAATATTAAACTATAGCTTAAAACAATAAAATGTAAAGTATATTAGAAACTAATAGAAATATCTCTATCATCATTATAGTGGTGCGAAACACAAAAGGACTGTAACCGACTGAAACTTATGGATATACTGGTTATGCCAATGCAGAGGCTCACCAGATATTCACTTCTGCTCAAAGCCGTCTACAAGAACACAGAGAACGAGGATCAACGCGCAGAATTGATACACATGGTAAAATTTATGCTTTACTTTTTCTCAATTTCTGGGTTAGTAGTACATGACAGGAAGGAATGCGAAGCGAAGGTAACGCGTTCGTGATAAGCCACGCTTTCCTGTAGATGAAAGCTATAAGGTTTATTCGCGTCGCATATTCCAACACGTTCCAATATGCTCCTACTATAGCTCTTACTCCAACGCGCTTGATAAAGTGATTAGGAGCTATGGTAGGAGCATGTTGGAGCATGTTGGATCTTACGACGCGAACAAACCTATAGTGAATCTCATAAATTACGAACTTGGTTTATTCTTGCTTCAAAATTGTTCGTAAATAAAAATACAAAGAGAAAGAGAGGGGGGGGGGGAGGAATGCGCAAAAAGGATTGTTTACGTTTCATCGGGTTCGTTTTGCGTCCAGATTAAATCCGTGGACGGTTTTGTGGTATCCGTGAATGCTGCGCTGAGGAGAAACGAAGAAGCTGCTCAGTTGGACCACGCAGCCTCTCGTTTGGAATGCTATGATGTCGTGGAAACCAAAGGGCTCGACGAGGAGGTGGAGAAACTGATAAAGTTGTACAGCAATCTCGATATTACTACAGCGCCGATGCCCGGCTGCCCAAAGGATAGCTTGAGGACTCTTCTTCGAGAAGGAGACTTGAAATTAAGAGACGCTGCCACCAGCAAGGTAGATCAATATGGAATATTAATTTATTTAATCGATCGGAAACTGCTTTTGTGTCTTAAACTACATGCAGAAATAATATGTAGTCAAAGGAAAAATGTGCGTAATTTTTTATCATGCTCTTTGAAGCGATTAAAAACAATTTCGCTGCAATTTATATTTATTTTGCAAAAACGGTTCCTATAAATTTTGTCGAATCTTCGTTTCTATATTTAAAAAGCAAACAGAGAATCGGTCAGACTATTTAACTAGGAAAAACTATTTGTAGAGATCTACAGTCCGTTAATTATCCCCTTTTAGATGGAAGTGCACGTACTTTTGTTGACCGACATGCTACTAATCTGCAAGCCGTCGACGAAGAAAATGTTGAAAATCATTAGGCAGCCATACGTCGTCGATCGCATACGAATACACGAGGTCAAGGAGCCATCTAGTCTTGGATTGGTTTATCTTAACGAGTACGGGACAGTTTCCGCCGCTTTAATTCTCAGCGCTGGTGACCCGAAACTAGCTAAGGTAACTCAGCTAACAACTACTGCGAATTACGACAAATTTCACAGGACGACTGATTCACCGTTCCAATTTAGATTCTGTTCCGTAGTTCACCAACGATGGCTTTCATCAGTCACTTAATTAATGGTAACAGCTAAATTCTCCATCCCTCTTTTGATCATACATGCAATGTTACAGAATCAGTTAAACTATAGCAAAGCGTAGTTCAATTGAAAAAAGTGACATAATCGACATAATTGATCGATATCGACGAAACCTTAATTTAATTAATAATTCTTAATTTAATTGATAAATAAATGATGCCTTAATTTAATGAATAGATGAAAGTTTCTTGAAATCATAAAATCTTCAAGCTTAAATAAAAATTTGTTTTGATTTTTTCCAGTCGTGGATGGACTCCTTGAAACAGGCTCAACAACAATTCGTATCGATGAAAGTTCCGTCACTCGGTGAGCCCGTGATGAACCTGGCGTCTGTCAGCAGGCAGCCGAGCACATTGGGCGATGGCGATTTCGAAGTAGAAGAGTATGACAATACCTTTCCAAGAACTCCACGTGGCAGTAGCAGAGCTTCGCACGGCAGCAGTCTCGCTCACAGTCACAGGTACTTACGTGTTGTAAAAAAAAGATATTGAGAGAAAAAAAAATATTGCAGTAAACGTCAACTAACAGTACCATTGATATAAGTTACATAACTGATAGTTATAATTTCTTACTCAATCCAATAGTGACGTCATGGGTGAAGCTCATTGAGTAAAGCATCAGGTATCTCGTTAACTTGTGATCAGATAATGAAACATTCAATAATATAACTGTACAATAACACATATTGTAACACGTAAAAGCGTTATATATTATATTATTGAGTGACAAATTTAAAAAAAAAATAACTAACAGTTATGTTGCTGTCAATTGATGGTTACTGAGTCGCGTCGAAGATAATTTATTATCCATATTTAATATTTATCATCCGCGACTGTACTAATGTGACTTCTGTTGTTTCCAGTGGTAGCATGGAGATGGAAGGTGCATCTCCGGGTAGCAGCAGCTTCCTACCGAGCTACAACCCCAGCAGGAACGTTAGCGTGGATACAAACGAGCAACCGCGAGCGTCGAGCTCGCTATCGTCGGAAGAAGGCGGCGAATCCAGCTCCGGGCACAATCAGCGAGCTATACATATGAGGTAAAAAAGCGTACGCGTGATCGATTCCGCGATGACCGATAAATATTAATATTCCTATTAAAATTAATTCGCAAACTTATCAGACGTTCGTTGATGAATAAATCGCCGACACCGAACACGCTGAGCGTCCACGTGCCATATTCAAGTCTGGGTCAATCGCTGCCCAATCTGACGCTGGCCACCTCACCGCAGACCTCCACTGTGTCACCAACGCCGCCGAACTCGTTACTGATCGTACCGCAGATGACCAAGAGCAAGGACACTCTACTTTCACCAGGACACCGAGGTAGCAATTACCGACGCGAATCTCTCTGGCTATGTTTGTCGCGTTTTTCCGAGGCCGAAACCTTTCAATGAGGACTCCCTGTCACGCCATGTAGTCACACACATTAAATGCACGCAGATCATAACGTATAAATTACTATTACAAGTACGAATCACCAAGCGCTCCTCTATTTCACAACTATTTTAATGCCGTTTGCTTGTTAGAAATAGCGGAATTGTCATCCAGGGCGCAGGTACGAGAGAAACATAACATCCAGGTTGTAATGTAGCTTAGTGTAGATTTTATTAAACATAAAATATTGACACACATGATAGCTTGATAGTTGTTCTAAATGCAGTTATGCTCGAGGACGTCAAGCAAATATTAATAAAAATTAGTATTTTATCTACTTGAAGAGAAAAATATAAAAGGATCTCTGCAAGAATCGTGCTTAGTATATATTTATTTTGTTCACAAATCAAACCTAATTCATTTCATTTAAATTCTCAAAATATTTTCTTATAAACAAGAAGAACGCAATATATTTATTAACCCTTTGGCCTGATGACTTTATTTTGAATCACTCCCTTTTATTTTGCAAATTGCTTACTTGCATTTTTATGAAATATATAACTTGTCTTATGGAATAATTTTTGATAATGCTGTATTCGAATCTCAAGTCAGAAATAAAAAGAGAACGGTGGATTCAATATGATATAATTTAAAAAAAAATTTGGTTATAAAATTTGGTTTTAGAAAATTTTTAATGGCAGTGGTGTGTACGTGTGCGTGTGTGTGTGTACATCAAGTTTCCAATTTCGCTTTATTTGAACGAAACTCATTAATGTCACGCAGATAATACTGATTTCCAACTAACTTTTAAATTCTAATTATAAATCTTGTGACACTAGAGCTTTCTTCATGGAGATTACTATACTCTTTGAAATTCAACATTTTCAGCTCTTACGAAAAAAAATACTAAAAATTGGGTACAATTCAAACTCCGCGATACCAAGAATTAAGACCCAGCTGTTTTAAGATAATCAGATTTTTTTGAAATTTGAATTTTAGAATTCTGAGGCCAGAATCGAATTTAATGACCCCGAAAACTTTAAGAAAACATTAAGAACATAAGTTATTTTGTTTGAAATCTCCGGTTTCTCTGAAAAAATTAAACGGATATTTTCTCTCTCTCTTTCTTTCTCTTACGTTTATTGATGATGTGTCACCAGGTATATCCTATCCACCGCCATCGCCGCCGCGAAGTGCTCTCAGACGAGGGTTTGCATTACCACAATCTCGGAATCCGCCTTTGATGAAAACGAGGCACGTAAATGCATCCCTGACACAATCAGCACAAGTAACTATGGGCAGTTCTGACACCGAAGTTATCGAAGAAAGACGGAGAAGGATAGATTCTTCGCAGAGAGTACCATCGACGAGCAGTATCGTCGAGGAAAAGGTATAAATTTTATAATTCTAAGAAAATTAAAAGCTTTATTATATAATGGAGAGCTTAGGACATTTTTGTAAAATAATTTGACATTATAATTGTTAATTTTGTATAATTTATATATTATTAAAATAACTTTTCTACAATATTGATTAAAAATTCATTACAATTTAAATCGAATATATGCTAAAAGATTATAGTGATAATAATGTTTAAACGAAATTGTAGAAAATTAGGAAATATAAGGAATGTTAAAATTCCATATAAAATTTGTATATCAAATAAGCAATGATAGAATCTATTCATCAATCTAGGATCAATATAAATGGTTCACGAATCGGTGTTTCATTTTATAAATCAAAGATCATTATTAGAACGTAAGAATTCTTATAAAAATTAAATAATAGATTAACCAGAATAATTAGAGATTCATGAAATTGTAATTATTCGTCAAATAAAAATGTAGAAAAAATCGAGATTCGTTAAATTTATTAATTTCATGAGATTCTTAATTTACTATTGTTTATTAATTTCAGATTTTTCATTATGCTTGAATTTAATATTTTTTTGGAACGTTCAATAACAGATCGCTATTATTGCTTATAGAAATGACCTGCGAATTGACCTGAAAGAAGAATTTTCCAAACGTTTGGTATGGACCACATCATCGACGTGGATGTACGTGATATGTAAAGGCTCGACGTGATATGTAATGCTTGACGTGGAATATAATGCTCGACGTGGATGCACGTGATATGTAATGCTCAACGAGATGCATTCTTCTCTCTATGTGTGGATAGTGCACACAGAAAATTCGAGGAGCATTGATCTTCGAGGATTGATTGTCTCGCACTCTTTGAAATCCTACAAAACGAGTCAATCAATACATTACAATCGGTAAGACGTCATCAATACGTCATATCATGTCGATACGTCGTATAAATTGATACCAATAAGAGCGACAATGTTCATTGTTATTTCTGAATTTCAGATTGGGGCCATTCGAAATCAACGTGTGAAGTTTGTACCACTACCGTATCGCTACTTTTATCTCGTTATCTCCTTGTAATTCGTAGATGTCTCTTTGTAATAATTGAACTAAGTCTGAGTTATCTATGATTAATATCGCATCGTGGCGTGTGTCGGCTGCGTGCAATATTAAATACAGATTTCGACTTAGACTTTTAAGCGAGGAACAGAAAGGCCTACTTAGAGTAACTACATTAAGATTTCATAGTGAGTAGGGCCGCAGCTAGCGTATAATACGCCTTTTTAAAGAAGTTCATTTAGGCGCCTTACGATAGAACAAAAATCTTTGAAGAATCGAAGAAAATTGAAAATTGATTTCGAGCGAGGAAACCAGGAATGTGCAAGAGTACAAGTTGGCGTCTTTCTTTCCCTTTTCCTATTGTAGGGGCACAATGCCTACTCAACGACCAAAAAAAGAAAGAGAAGGTTTTGAATACAATTGCCTTGTTCAGACTTAACGCATTAATGAGAAATAAGATCATACAAAGACATCGAAACCTTTAAAAATTTGTAGATTTTAAATCGCTGCGTTCATTCTAAAGAAAAGTCTCAATTTTACGGTGCGATATGTAATCGACATCGCGCAATTTAGACATCGAAATAGGAATGACAGTTACTTCATCTGTTTTATTTAGCTAATTAATCTTGTTTAAAAATTTATTTTACTCTTCATTCAATTGTAACAACCTAACTTTCTATGCGTG